ACTACTGTCTGCTTAAGCCAATTTAGACTGTTTCATCACTGAATAGAGTATAAATTTTAGATAATTCTTTAGGGAAGACAATGCAGTTTTGGAACTGAAAGCTGATAACATCTACTATATACTTGTCATGGACCTTGCAAGACATTTTACTTTGACATATTAAACTAATACTATGAAAATAATTCATGTCTATTGGCCAAACTTTTTCATTATGTGAATAACATTTGCTTGTATAATTAACTTTTGACTGAGTACTTTGTTTTTCTAGAAATTTCCAAAATAAGATAGCTTCAGAAACTTCTGAGATTAAGCCAGTAAAAGTTCTTAAATTAATAAGAACTGTGAGAATGCTTAATGAAGACAAAAAGACCAATGAAATGGCATGACTTTACCATCTCTAAGATATAATTGCTAGTATATTTAGCAAGTAAATAAATCTAGGCTAAATCTGTTCAAGCTGTAATATACGTGGAACTTCTGTGTATTTATACAGAGTAACATGAAAACAGTTTTTGCCCACTGACACTAGTGTATTGGATTGTGGGAATTAATTAGTGTATTGAACTGTGTGAATGTTTACTTTTTACATATGAGGCAACTGATTTAATAAATGAATGATTGTCTCATGCACCCTGCAGAAGATGCAAATGTTTCTTTCAGACATTTATTTGGAGTTTGATATGAAAAAGAAAAAAAGATTTTAAGGAATCATTCATCTTTTTATGTAATTGGGTATATTTACTTTGTGATACTTTTCATTAGTGTCAGGATGTATTGTTTATTATAATCTTATATGTTGAACTATTTAATACTCTAACCACTTAAAACAGCTCTCTGTCACTTAGGAGAAAATTGCAAAAAGAATTCAGTTTGGCAATAACATTTTGAAATCTTTCTCTTAAAAAAGTCATATTTTGATGTAGATAAGAACTCTAGCTTAACTGCTTCTGTTCTGTTGCTTTATTACTTACTAAACAGTAGTGTGTTTCTGTTTTTGATGAGGAAAGAGTATCTTGTAAGGAACACAAGATACCTTAAGGCCAAATGCACAGCAGAAGCTGACAATTCAAACAGCTGAGAAAGCCAGATTTCTTAGGATAGGAGTCAGGTTTTTTTCCTCTCTTTTAAGCAAATCTTGAGGAGTTGGGGTGTTTTTAAAACAGCAAGGGAACATGCACTCTTGAGAAGAGCTCTAAATCTATATAGCTTGTACATTTTTATTGTGCTTGCTAGTGTATTTATCAGCCTTCCTGTGATCAGCTTCTCACTTTTTTGGTCTTGTGTCACTTCCAGGTTCCTGGTAACATACTGCCTACTGTACATTGTATTATAGGGTGGGTTGCAGAATATTTCTAGAGAATGTTATAAAAATGTGATTTGTTTAAACTACTAATTGCTAATAATCTCTGGGGAAAGGGGTGAGGAGAAACCCCAAGGTTAGTATTTTAGTGCTTTTCCAAAATAATTACAAGCAATAGGGATGTAGTTCAAAAGGCATTCAGCAGACGTAGAATGTAACCCTGAGAAGTTTCAATGCAAAACTGGTATTTATTCGTACATGCAGATAAAAGTATTCAGCAAAATTGGTTTTGCAAACATACAGTTATTATCTTGTTTTCTTTTTCTGGTGAGCTATGAAAGTAGAGAATTGAGTCTGTGATACAGTAATTTTTTTTTAGAAATTACTGTGGCACCAGTGAGAGAGAGTCCTAGAGTCTTCTCTGTAACACCTAGCATTTGACAAGCACCACCTCTTCCAGCTTGCTCTGGAAACTTGATCTGTGAGAGGCATAGAAATCATTTAGGCTCCAGCCCTTTTCAAATGCTTGTTTTCTGACTGTGGAGTTCCTCTTATAGCAAAGTTGAAAAAATAATCTGTGAAAGTTGTAAGTGAAGGATAGGGACTCCATATTCTTAAAACAGTAAAAAGAAAAGCATGAAAAAATTATCCACTTAATAGGAACAGCAGCAATTGTATTAAAGAGAATAAAATATGTAAGGAATTTTATAGTTTTGCTTTGTGACAAGGGATAAGGGCAACAAGAACAACAACCTGTGAGCTCAGCATTTATCAGTGTAGCAGTTGGAGACATAGCTCTAGACTTGCCCGGCTTGTTGGTTGGGACTTGCATGCATCCTGCTCCTAACTATGCAGCTGTAAGGATGTGTATTAGTTAGATGATCTGTGTATGGAAGGTAGCCTGATCTTGAATGTAGTATGAATTTGCTCTCAGCCCATTTTGTGTCAGTTCTTTGAGTCATCCAACTATGCCACCAGGAAGTTCACCTTCAGATAATTATTACTCTGAGCGACAAGGTAGGGTTGTTCTGAATTGAAAGGGCTATACACTGAGCTCTACCCAACCTCCTAAGCCTTTCAATCGCTAATATCATTAATGAAAGAAGCTTTGAAATTATTGCTGACTTTTGAAAGTGAGTAGGCTATGGAGGTGCTAACATGTGATTGTATAAGACAAAGAATATTAGAGGACTTTTCTGTTAACTCCATGTTGCCTGCTACATGACTGCTTATAAACTTGTGGACTCCTACCTTAGCATTAAAAAATCACATCCACAATTCCTGGCAGGCCAATGACAGATATACCAGTCTGTGCTTATTAAAGAATCCACTACTGTGATGTATGTTGTGTTATCAATATTATTTTAATATCTATTTATTAACCAGCTATAGAAGACTTAAACTAACAGTAAAATGGTTAACCGTGTTTTACTGAGGATAACATGGACCTACATAGTGAGATTTAAGTCAATGATTTTATAATTATTTTGGTTATATTAAAACTGCTGTATGTGGAACACAGAAAATCTCTTTCCTTCTATTCCATGACAAAGAATTATTATTACAAGGAAATCTGTGGCTTGGGGCTTGTAATAACTAAATTTAATTTTCTATCTTTCTTGATAATTCTTATAAAAATGAAATTACAGTGAAACTCTTTTCCTAGTTGGAAAGAAACAATAATTTGGGCAAAATGTTCCCTAAAAAGTGTCAACCTAGTTTTTAAAATGCATTCATATGAAATACTGGTCTTTAGGTTTGGGGCCTGTAGTTGATAGGTTCTATATTAAACTGATGGTTTCAACTGCTCCTTACCTAGAAATCTGTGGATAGAAACTGACTTAAGTAGTGCCCTCAACTAGCCCAAGTGGTATGAATTCAGATACACTCTCTGTATTTTTGTATATATTCACCTTTAAATCATATTTGAATATGTGATAAAAGAAAGGAAATGAGAGGAGAAGATGGAAACAAACCATCACTTCTCTAATTCTCAGGGCTCATGAGTCTTATGTAGAAGTGAAAAGGAAAGATATTCATAATAGAGAATCTGATTAAAAGGTCTGGTTTAGATTGCAGTGTAAGCAGGAAACGATGAATCTTGGCAGAGTTTCAGCTGTGAAACAAAGCAGTGAAGAAAGCTGATGCTTTGGGTAGAGAGAAGAAAAAGAGGACTCAGAAAATAGGAAATTACAGACATATTTCATTTTGGCAGAGCTTGAGAAATTGCTTATTATAACCACCATTGAATGAACAGTTACTTATTATCTGTTCTGCAGAAAAGTAGGGGAGGGTTAATTATCTAACCTATGGGCTGAAAATAAAACCAGTGTCTTGGGGATTGACTGCTAGCATAAAATATATCTAGACTGCTTGTTCTCTTTCTGGAGAAACATCATTTTAGTGGGAAAAATCATACTTGTAATTAGAAGGAAGAGGCTCAGCATGTGCATTAGGGTTACAATGGACAAATTTATCACTTGATATGCTCAATCCTAGCTAATCATCATCCTTAACACCAAAGGGACATTCCATGTAATATATGTTCTTAAATTTATTAATGTTTAATCATTTCTCTTGTTCTCTCTGTTTTTAAGAAAAAATGAGGTAGTATGCAGATGATTCTTTTGATTATTACATAGTGTTGTGTTTCTGCAGAGTAAGGAAATTCTAGACTTTCTCAAAATAAAGGATAATTGGTGACTCCCCATAACTTCAAACTAGCTCCATCACTTGCTGAAACCAAAGCAAGAGCTGCAAATAGTGAGAGATAACAGATTTATAATACTCTAGGACATTTATGTTCTTCTATTTTCACGTGTGAAGATTTAAACTGTTGATATGCAAAATCACCTGGTGAGACATGTTGTGAACCTGGTTTTAGAACAAGCTCTTTGCCTAATTACGTGATGCAAAATGTGGCACACTTGAAATGTACCTGAAAATATAGCTGTAAAATATTTCTTCATCTTGATGATGTTTCCTACTGATAAAAGCTCTCTTTGTTTCTGAATGTGATCTTGTTTGAAGTGCTTCTTTTAATCTTTACTGGATGAATGTGACTTGACTTTATTGGTCACTTCACACCTCTTGTGCATAAGTGATACAATCATAGTGCTTGTTTGACATATTTGAACTAAAATCTCCTTTCTTTATGTAGGAGAGAGTATTTTCAGTGGAATATTTTATGTCCAGGAGCTATGATTTCCTTCCTGCTTGCCAGAGATGACGTTTGTTGACATCCACAATTTGTGGAAACCACAATCTTTCATCTTTTTAGGAAAAACAAGGATGAATGGGTCTACTGCATTATGCAGGAGTGCTGGTTTGGGATAAATATTTGAAATGTATGGAACTTCCCTTCTTGTTTTCTTGAGGAATTGTATTTGTAGCTTTAGATTAGCACTATACTAAATAGTTCCTTCATTCTTGGAAACAAGTACAGTAAGCAAGGCTTTAAAAGAATTATTAATACAAAAAGAGTGGTATTCTTGCTGAATGCCATGTTGGAATTCTCCTAGTAAACCAAAAATGTGTGTGGGGGTGTACACTGGAAAAAAATTTAAAATAGATGCTGGGAATTTTAAAGCAGAGGAATTGGAATTTTTTGATGCACGTGAGGTGAACATTGAATGAATGTTGGTAAAGTCCCATCTTCATAAGTATTCTATCAAATGTTAAACACTAATCCCTTACCCTAGATGCAAGTGCTCTATAGATCTGCAGAACAGACCTGAACAAACTCATAACAGTCTTTCTGCTTTCCTGTGCGGCAGTGGAAACGAAATGTGGGAAGGAGAAATCAAGAGAAGTTGTGTGAATGTTTGGTGTGAATCAAAGTGTCCAAAGCATCTTCATCTTTCTGAGTGTGAGTCTACAGTGTGCTTGGAGCCTGGTCAGATAACACCCCCAAGTGCCTACCCCCCAAGCCAAATCAACCCCTGCAATCCTACTGCTGCCTTCCAACCCAGGCCTTGTTTGTGAAAGTGTTTTGGTCAATTAATCTTTTTTTCTAGAAAACCTCTGCCTTTCAAAATCGCTGAGGACAAATAGGTACAGCTTTCTACCTAAAGGACATGAGTTTGTGGTTTGTCCAGTCAAACCCCAGCTTTCATAGGAAACTGTCACATTGCTATACTCCCTGGAGCAGTCTTTGCTTGTGTCGGCATCACAGATGACCAAAACATTTTCAGCAATGGAGTATCAGTTTTTCATTTCTTCTCATTTATATTTGATGGAGAATTTCCTGCTGAAAATTGAGAAACTTTCTGCTTGTGTATTAGCCTTTTCTTCAATCTCTGTGCTGGCCAATATGACACCCCTAAAGGGAAAAGTTACCTCTGTCTAAGTGCAAAGCACTCTTTGTGACTGACCTCCAGCCTTTGTATCTCTCTCCATCCCCATCCAAAGTTCACACACAAGAAGAATGTTTCTTGTAGTCACAACACTAGTCTGGTAAGATTTAATGAGGCATTTAACTTTTTCCTTCTGAGTTGTTTCTGGCTGTTTATGTAGTTACTGTACAGAAAACTGATTTGCTAAAACTTAGGGAGGCTATCATCCTTGGGAAGGTTTATCTGCTTGTTAGTTGAAATCTTTGGATTAGTGTAATTTTAACAGGAGTTTTAGAGGGCCTAGCCTTGAACATGGTGATACTTTGAAGCAATTGATCACTATGTTATCACATGGTGTTAATGGTGTTGCCTCGAGCTTTGTTACAACAGTATCCAACTGCCTCTTTAAAAAAAAAAATTCTTAAACTTATATGAAACCATGCCAACTCTTTATGAGTCTCTCAAGGAGTTTATGGCTTTATGAAGAACCCTTAAACTATGTCTTTGAGAAGCAGCTGCATTTGCCACACTTAGAAATCATTCCTATAATTTCCCTACTCATGCCAAGCTAAAATAAAACACCTCTGGTGCTCCCCCTGAAACTTTCCACTCCGGATAATGTCAGTAAGTATTTTTGGAAATGTTTCTTAGTAAGGTTGGTATAATTAGGCTAGTTCTTTTTACCCCTGCTCTGTTTATTTATTTGGCAAAAGACACTTTTTCCACATTGATCTGAAAGGGCAATAGTCCATCTGGCCTCAGACTCAGCATTCACCTCTTTCACCAGTCTGGGCTTGAGAAACTGTCCTGTACTGAATGAGAAAAATTAACCTAATTCATCTCTCTGCTTATAAATAGCTACTTTTAGAATACTGTTTTGTAGTGCATGTACTTGTATAGGAGGTATTTTCTTGAGAAACAGATTTTATTACCAACGCTTTATTTATAAACTCTTGTTGTTGCCCTTGTTTGCTGGTTGTGCTTAACATTAGGGTAGCTGAGTCTTCTACGTGATGGTATGAGCAAGGGCCTTGATGCAATTTCAGCTGATGTCAAATGGGAGTCTTTTTAGTGCTGCTTCTGCTGTGGTTGAAGTAAAAGTGGAGAGTGAACATGATCCAGCCAATACAAGGGGGCTTATATTACATCAAGGTTTCCCATCAAGAGATTCAGAGCTGAAGTCTTCAGAAGACATTGTCTTTGGCTAATGGCAATAAATCCTTGTGTTGTGTGACAGGAAATACTGTGACTCAAGATTTGACTTCAAACCCTGTCTTCTGGAATGTTCTTTCTCTGTGATTGCTGTAACCTTGCCCAGAGGTTGTGCAAGCCAGGCTATGCTTCAAGAAGTGCTACCCCTTATGCGTCAGAAGATACATTGTGTCATGGTTCTGGCTGCGTTTCCCTAAGGTGTTGTGATAGTGTTGCATATTATTAGTATAAATGGCTGATAGCAGATCTTTCTTTCCCCAAAAATTGGAGAAAAAAATAGACAATTAGACAATTAGACTTTATTTACCTCTATTGTCTTTGGTCTTCTGCATGCCTGAGAGTATTCTGCACTCTTCACATTTCTACTGAGGATTTGTACTTTGTACTGTTCTATAGAACTCCTTCATTTTCTTCTATGACCCTTGGAATAACTTTTTAGTAGAAAGGACTAAGTGATTGGGATAGTGGAGAATGTAGTGTCACAGCAGTGTTGATGAAATGGTAGATTGGAGCTTGATAGCAGAAGTCATGTAGCTTTGATTGCTCTGCTCTAAAGTTGCTTCTATTACCTATATTTTTGGGAATGTGACTGGCTAATCAATTGTTTTCTCCACATCTAGCCTAAGAAAGGAAAAGCTAGTGAGAAAAGCAGGGACTGAACAGTAGAGGAAATACTAATTAAATAGTAAAGGGCTCTGCACCAAACTTGAAAGTTGCCTAAACTCAAGATTCAAGGCAAAAGGTTCTCGTGAAATGGCATTTTGGATAGTAAATGAAAAATGCTTGCCTTATTTCTGTCTTCCTGGAAAAATGTATGGAAATAGGTGATCAGTCATATTTTGGATCCAAGTAACTTCTTGCCCATATATGTTTAATTCCAGCAATTTGAAATAATTGAACTTGGTAGAAGATGCAAAGGAAATTCAGACCTTTGATTTGTTGCCTTCATGTGGACAGAGGTGTCCAATGTTTCCCAAGTCTGAGTAGTTTGGATAATGGATCTGATCTGTGAAATCTGAGATTGAATCCCATTTCTTTGGCAGATGTTAGAAAATTCTCAAATTAAAAAACCTAAGTGTATTTTGCTTGATCCAAGCAATGCAAACCCACATCAGACTAATTTTTCTGTCCCTCTCTGCAACTATAAGAATTCGTCACTGTCATTTTCTCCTCCTTGTTGTCTGCAGTTTCCTTCTCTCTTCCCTTTCTCCTGCTTCTCATTCACACGCTGCTCAGGCTCACCAGAATGCGTTGCAATGTATGCAGTGAGCAGGAGATGTGAGTTTGACCTGTCAAGCAACACTGGAGAGTAGAAACAGCTGGGATGACTTGACAGGTTTGGCTCTCTTTGCAGAACTAAGTGTTACTATAATGAATAGTATTTGGGCTTGTTTTACTGAAATCTTGCTGCCACTAATGAGCAGTAAGTTCTTACAAAGCCGAATTCCACCTCTATTTTTCCAGGTCTGTATTAGCTTATCCTGTATGGTGACATATCCTTCTTACGCATTAGCCTTATCTGGTTTATACTGAGAGAGAATTAATGATACCGTGACTTACCTGTAGTCTTTGAAGTGACATAATTAAAAAAAAACAACAATCAAGAATTAAACAACCAGTGACTGATTTCTGTTAGTATTCAATGACTGAAGTCATGCTCAAGATCCTGTAAATCTTACTGAACTAAGTCTCTTTGACTTATTTACCTTTGTAGTTGTGGCTTTGTTCTTTTCTTTGGGGAGCTATTTTCCACACTGTGCACTCCCTAGTCTTGGCACATGCATCCTTTCGAAGAAGATACACTCTGTTATGACTACAGCAGCTGCTCTGCAGATACCTAATTGTCCTGGCCAATGTGAAAGCACCAGTCATGGGTGAGTAGCATCAAGTCTGGTTTTTTTATGGACAACATGAAGCTCTTTCACATTCATTGGTCATACAAATGATTGATAGACCTCATTATTTTAAAAGAACTATTGCACTGTAACGTTTCCAGATGTTTTCCAATAGAAGCTGTGTTATTACTATAGGGAAGTATCAATCAGTAAATAAGCCATGTCACTCGTTGCCCTTCTACGCAATCGCAGTGTTCTGATCTTGTGGTTTGGCTTCATTTACAAAGGAATCATCAATTCAAATAGATTATTGTTCTGTATGTTACACTGCAGAGGGACAGCTTGAGTGCATGATATGATCAACCTCCTATGAACTAAGTGGAATCAACTGTGCTCAGTACTCAGATGAAAAGTCAACAAGGAAAACTGAAATGCTGCAAAGAAATTGTTTCTAATGAAGTGGTAGGGGACGTCAGACCATCAGTTACTCAACCTTTGTTCCGCTGTTGTGCTTCAAGGCTCTCTGCTCTCCCTTTCATGAAGAAACTGTGATGCTTGTAATTAGAGAATGCAAGTTTGTTTGCAGCAGTCTCTCTTATTTACTAATGCTGCCTTCAAAACTATGATGATAATTGTAATGTGATAGCCAGAGACCCTTGATGTAAGCCAGGAAAAAGCATAGCTGCATTGAGACTCAGAGGGGTTTTACTGTTTGCAAATTTACTTCCAAATGAATATAGGCTTGTAGGCTGCAATTAACTGAAATGAAATCAACTAAAACTGTTGCTTCGGAATCTTTTGTTTAAGAGCATCTAAAAGCCTGTAACACCAAACCTGTCAACACTGTAACACCAAACCTAAATGACGTTGTCTGAATCCATTCAAAACAATTTTTATGTAAAATTCTGTGACATTTATTGATACTGTTTTTTAAATCTCAGTCCTCAAAGCTGTTTTTTAAAAGCACATTTCAAGATACGTTGAAGAAAAAAATTGACATTTGCATTTTCCAGTTATCTTGAGGTTGAAAATGTAAGAATAAAAGAAACTAAATGTGCCTTAGTGAAAACATCAGATTCATTTTAGCAGTTGCACAGTTCAGAGGGACCTGGCCCATGAATTTGCAGCCCTTGGAACGTTCTGCCCACAGAAATTGTTTGCAGGAGGAGGATCTGCACGGCCTCACAAAGATTACTTGTGGAGCTGTTTCCAGGCTTCCTCTGTTCTGATAGTTCAGTGCCAGTTCCAATAGTTACCATTCTCTACAAGCTGCAATGAGGCATGAGTAACCATTGCTAGTAATATCTGTATTATCTGTGACGGGATGCTTTGCAGTCTTGTTTGCCACTTGTCTGTGATTTGCTCAGACTTCATTTACTCTCTCTTAGCAGGATAAAGGGTAAAATAAATATGTCTATTCAGTATCTTTTGAGTCATCATACGAGAAGCAAATATTAATATGTCATGAGAAGCAAGTATTTATTTGC